TGCATTACTCCCTTCAGAACCTATGAGCACCCCATATAATAGCCGATGAGGACCTATGAATATGTTCATACAATAGCCCTTGAGGACCTATGGGTACCTTCATTGGTTAGTCCTTAAGGGCTTATGAGTACCTTATATAATAGCCCTTGTGGACCTATGGATATCTTCATACGATAGCCCTTGAGGACCTATGAGTACCTCCATATAATAGCTCATGAGAACCTATGGGTACCTCAATAGGATAGCTCTTAAGGATCTATGGGTACCTCCATATAATAATCCTTAAGGGCCTATGAGTATCTCCGTATAATAGCCATTGAGGACCTATGGCTACACCAATATAGTAGCCTTTGGCGCCTTTCCCTAATAGCCTTATTTGACCTTTGATCCGACACAGGCAGACAGACAGACCGACAGACACTGAACATTATATATATAGATAGACAATTAAATATACTATTATCTAAAACTATTAACGGCTATCGAACGTAATCTTATAGCAGATAAACATGAGAAGAAAAAGTGATGAATTTTTTTTTCCAAAATATTATATTTATTAAATAATAAAGAATAAAAGAAAATTTCAAAATAACAAACAAAAAATTCTCCAACAAGACCACCACGTTTTAATCCTGACTCAACATTACCGAATAAAAATACTGTCGAACGGTTTTGATCATTACTTTTATTAACGATTTAATAAATAAATTCTTAAACAAAAAAAATTTAAAAAATTACATTTAGAAATCTAATAAAGATATCTAGAACAAAGAGTTACAGTTGAATTAATATCAATAACATAATTATAAACATTATAGAGTAATGATCGACTATGAATTGTTGTTAATCGTTGAACAAAATGATTAAAATTTTTTACATTAGTATGAAATACTGAAGTACGACAACGCCATTCATTTAACTAAAACAAATCTTTTACTTTTATTAATTAATAAAAACAACAAAAAAAGAAACAATTAAATTTACTTTTTTATTTTGATCATAATTAAATCTAAGCCAATAAAAAACAATAAACATTTGTTGAGCATTTGGTCTATGTTCATAAGGTAAATAAAATAATTCAACAAGTAATCTTATATCCTCTAATGTTAAATCACTTGTAGTACCACTTGCATCATATTCCATTCTATGAATTTTTGATGATGCAATTGATGTTTGACTTTCACTTATCGAATCTTGAGAATCTTCATCAATTATTAATGATAATACAGCTTCTTTTGGACTCATTTTTTCCAGAGAATGATCAATCTAAATAAATATTTTAATTTAAAAAAAAAAATAATAATAATTCAAAATAACTTTTAAAATTTGTTGTAAATCAATAGCTGATTTTATTTTATTAAATTCTGGTAACCAATCAACTAAAGCTTAATCTAATGCTTTATTAACATATGATAAATTTCAGATGTTTGAAAACTATATTTATCATCATCATTATCAATTTGATCTCTACTTTCATTTATTCTTAATGATTGAAATCATTGACTAAGTGTATTTAATGGAATAAAATTTAATTCAAATTCACAATTTGGATTTATTAACATTCCAGATATACGTGATGATAAATTTGATGAACGACCTGAAAATGGCTCTAAACATAAACGACATTAATCATAATCATTTGCATTTAAATTATCCCATATTGTTACACGACGTTGCAAAATACTATTTACTGATAATATATGAGACATTGTTATACGACGAGATATTACTTTTGAACTTATAAATTAATATTATATGTTCAAATTGAAAAACAAAAAAAAAAAAACGATTTTGTGAAACACTATTTAAAAGAAGTGTTCAAATATAGGAGTAGAAATTTAAATTTCTCCTTCACAGACTGTGACAGACATTTTAGTGATGGACAATCACAAAGCGTGACAGATGCAAACTACAAATAATTTCAGAGAGCGTGATGAACATTGTAGCATAGCTCTTCTCTCCTCGAAATCGAAATCACAGACATTTTTGGAAATTTTCTCATTTACGAGTGGAGTAACTCGATCGTATTTCACATTTTAATCACACACAGATTAAGTTAACAGTTTTTTTTTCTTAAATCTTGTATTAGATCAGATTAATGAATGTCTTTCTTCATATAGAATCATTTTTGGTGGTTGATTCACTCAACATGTTGCATAAAGCAATCAATCAATTTACTTTGTTTCCAGTGTGCCTTCACAGATTTATCTTAATGACTCGACACGAATCTTTGCTCTACCTCTGAGTGTTCTATACAATTTATAAATGGATGGCATCAGTCCATTTGTCCGTTGAAAGAATGTTCAAGATCTGTTAGACATATGAGAGTAGGAACGAGCGTAAGAATTAAAAGCTGAATTCAATGGTTTTTTTTTCTTCTGGACCATGACTCTATGCAAGTTCTCTTGCACAGTAGTAGATAAGTATCCAATTCGAGGTGTGTCAACTCATAACGAGCAGTTTACAGGACTTTCTTAATACAAAAGTCCTGTAGGATAAATGACAACAGAACTTTCGTATCGATTTTGACAGAGCTTTCATAACGAAGTTTTATATTGCATTCATAGCCAAATTGAAAGACTCATACTCTATAAACAATCAGGGTATTCGTAGCAAATACTCTTGCTTCAAAATACATGTTAAATCAGTCGGGTGCTGTCTATCTGTGAGAATTATAATATACTTAAATACTCTAAATTATCTTGACCCTCAAGAATAAAAAGTTATCCTATTGTTATATTTTTTTTTCTGTTCTCTACATCTAATTCTTTCTTTTATTTCAATTCCTATTTATTCTTGTTAAACATTTACTATTTCAATACTGTCTATGTGATTGTAAAACTATTTCTTGTTATAGCTGTTGACTTAAAGTGAAGAAAAGCAATTGTGTACTCTTATTTCAATGTTATTTGGGTTTTTTACTCGTTCAATCTTTTTCCTCTCTATGTCTTTCTTGACTGTTTTTGCTTCTTATTATCATAAGGAAAGAAATTCAGAAAAAGATTAATGTTTACTTGTATCTGTTTTCTGATTCACGCTTTGTTCTTGAACTTTTTTCGTTATAATTTCTGGTATTATACTAATCTCAATATGAAAGCTCTGTCACCAACATTTGACTAGAGATCACACTAATAGCTTTAATGTTATGATAGTCCTGTAAGAGAGATATGATGGCTCTGTAAAAATTGATAGAAAAGGCCTGTAAAAAGTCATTAAAAAACAAAGCTTTCGTACCGTCCCGTTAGAGTTGACATCTAGCCATCCAATTATTTTCTGTCTTAAATCTCAAGAAGATATTTAAAGTTAACACTTAATTTCGACATTTTTTTTCTATAATTTTATAAATACATTTAACTTTAATGAATTTTTGTTTTCTATCAAACTTTTATTTCAACTCGATACCATTTAAGAATATAAATCTCATTCCTTAGAGAAACATAAATTATATTGAAAATAATTTAAAGGAAAAGAAAAGAAAAATGAAATTTTTTATCAAATAAATATATCTTACCAGTCTAAAAAATACCGATATCTTGATGAATACCACCATTAGCAATTGTTGAAAGAATTCTAGATAAGAATGTAAAACTGCTTTCAATAACACCACAAAAATCATTGGTTTTTATATCATGTTTGTAATTAACATCTGAAAAAGTTAATATATTTTCTTTTTTATTTTTCTTTTTGTTATAACATTGTTCTTATCTTTTATTAGATTTAACATGACAAGTAAAAAAAAAGATGTTTTATTTTTTTATCAATAAGTGTAATGACAGTGTTAATCACGATATCCATCAATACATATAGTTTTAACTGGTGGATTCAATTACATTAAAGAATTCATCGAGTCTTCCGTCGAGAATTACCAAATTTTGATAAGAACTACAAAAGATAAATACTCATTAAAATTGTAATCTATTTGAGAATAAGAAAATCTTACCCATCTTTTTTACGACGTATTATTTTTGTTTTAACATAATCGTTAATTACGAAACGCATATTATTTATTGTTTGTATTTCATTCTAAAGTTCAATGAAAAAAAGAATGTTTTTATTCAATCAACAGAATTCCACTTACATATGCTGTTATAATACATTCGTTTTGTTGTTCTTGTACATTGATAGACACTGAACGATTGTTGATTAGGTATTCGACTGTATAACCATCATTTTGACGACCTCCATAATCTAGTAGATTGTACAGTGTCTTCCCAAGGCAAAGCCGCTCGGTCGGATTCTGTCGGATGGATTTCAAATCCGTTTGAATCCGACGTTTCAGACGTAATCCGATCTGGATTCCTTTGCACAGGATTCCGACGCAAACTGGAGCGGATCCGATCGGTTTTTAACGGAAGACGTCGGATTCCGATGCAATCCGTTTCGGATCCGATGGTTGCCAGTAAGATCCACAGGTCGGATTCAATCTCTTGGGTATCTCGATTTCTCCAAAAGGCACCCAAGAGATTCAAACCAAGGAAAGCCGCTCGATCGGATTCTGTCGGATGGATTTGAAATCCGTTTGAATCCGTCGAACAGATATTTTCCGACGTAATCCGGTCCGGAATCCTGTGCAAGGAATCCGACGCAAACTGGTTCGGATCCGATCGGTTTTAACGGAAGGCGTCGGATTCCGATGCAATCTGTTTCGGATCCAATCGGTTTCCGGTAGGATCCACAGGTCGAATTGAATCTCTTGGGTTTATAAAAGATAAATTGTATATATTTTTAAAGAAAAGTATTTTTCTTACTTGTTTTTGTGTATGACGATCTATTATAAATCCATGTATGAAAATGAATATATAATCAAATTCACTTCTTATTGATCGTTTATTTTTATCAATTAAACCTTTTACAAGTGTAAACATTTTTTTTATCTCAAAAATACGATTACTTAATTTTAATAAAAACTAACGAGGAAACATTCCTAAGTGATCCGCTTCGCTTGCCTTCATATTTTTCCAATACATAGAAGTTCATTAGATTAGCATAATTTCTAAACGATTCGTGCCCTTATCGAGATTTGATTAAGATATAGAAATTTTAGTAAAATTTTCGTGTAGAAGTCTAGTTTTCAAGCAAAATTGTATTTTTCAATTTTGACCTGAAACTTTGTACAAACGAAGGGCTCACTTAGAATAGCTCGTATATAAAGTTTAATGATTTTCGCACCTTGTATCTTCGATATATGAATTTTTCAAAATATTCATGTTTTACACAATATCTATGGAAAAGGAACTTTGTCTTGAAAAATTTTTATCTCGAAGATACAATGTTCGAAAACGATAAAACTTTATATACGAGCTATTCTAAGCGAGTCCTTCATTTGTACAAAGTTTCAGGTCAAAATTGGAAAACATAATCTTGCTTGAAAACTAGACTTCTACAGGAAAAATCTACGAAAATTTCTATGTCTCAATCAAATTTCGATAAAGGAAAGAATCTTTTGGAGGTTATGATAATCTAATGAACTTCTATGTATTGGCAAAATATGAAGGCAAACGGAGCAGATCACTTAGGAATGTTCCCTCGTAAGGGTGTCGATTTACATTTAATTTATTATAAGAATAATAACAGAAAATTTATATTTATAAAAAATGAAAATTGTATTTTTCAAAAGTGTATATTTATTTTAAATATAAATTCTTTGCACATTATGATCTAATAAATTATAAATTAAATTAAATCCTCGTACTTTTTTCCATAATTATTTATCAAAATCGCCTAGATCCTGAAGGTGAATTTTTGTCGATTCCTCAGATTATTAAAAATAACTATCTGAGAACTACCCAGAAGTACCAAAGTTAACCATCTGAGAGTGATCTAAGGGCACTAAAAGCAACTGTCTGACGAATATATGGAGCAATGAAAGGCAACATTCTGCGACATATACAAGGGTACTCAAAGTTACTATCTGAGAGCTATATGAAGATATCAGAAGTAACCAACTTAGACTTCCCAGAATGTGCAACCCCATAGAGGTCTGATCTTCCGACTATAGAACCGAACGAAATATGGCGGGACGAAGAGAAGGACAGGTTTTTTTTAGTCATGATTTTGCTACTATTATAAGGATGAAACGCAGTGTTGTCGGTATCGATAAGAGGTTATCAAGGATGCTCTATAATTCGTCGACAACAACCCGATACTATATTATAGTTATGGAGACGAACGAGAGATGGAGGGGCAAGATGATGGGTTTTTTGGCTCATCGTTTTCTCTACTCTCGTAAGGGTGAAGCATAGTGTTGTCCATGTCTATTATATATTTTCAAGATTTCTCTATAATTCGCCCCAAACAGCCTTATCTTTTATCATTCTCATAGTGAAGAAGATCATGACCTTAAAAAAAACTCATCCTTCTCCCTTTTCTGCCAATGTCTTGTTTTCCCCTATTTCTTTCTTCTCGCTATCTTAAGAGTCAGTGCCTGAGAAAATCAGACATCGACGATGGAGTGACATCTCAGAATTCGCTGATTTTTTGATA